TGTCTCTCGCTTCGGCGCGATGAGAAGCGTTCATCTCGCCGTCGCTCATCGACTACTTGAGACAATAAGCGGGATAGCCGCTGCGATGATCGTCGCGGTGCGACCCGTTCGCCACTTTCGCCGCGTTCGCCTCGTCGCGTGGCGTCGCAAAGCTGATTCCATGACCACAGTTCGCACCGTCATCATTCACCTCCTCACAGTTCATCTCGCCAGCGGTCATCTGCCTGCCAGACGTTTGGGCGTCGACTCCCGGCTCCGCGTTCGCTCTCTCTTGCAAAGCTCCAACGGCTCTACTCCCCTCGTCGCGGGAACTGTTTTCCTGGCCGCCAGCGTCAAGAGCTCATCTCGCCCGCAATCTTATGTGCGCTCGAGCGCAAGTAGGCGTGCGCGTCGTGGGCGACGAGGGGGTCACAGTCGCGGCGGAAAAGCTTGTCCAGCGTCGTCCGCAATGGAGCGCCAGCTTCTAGATAGGCTTGATGACGTGGAGAAGGAGCTTCGTCGCACGCGTGCCGGGTCGGCGTCATCATCAGCTTCTCGCGCTTCTCCCGTCATTTCTCTCTCCTCGCTCCAGCCCCACAATCTCTTTTAATCCCCGGCGCATTCAGAGCGGTTGCTGCCTGTGGGGATAAGCTTCGTAGGTGCTGGCGCCGCCCGCCGTGGGCTCACTTTACTCCGCCACGTTCTCTTCCTACTCCGCATGATCTTTCCGTGTCATCTCACCATGCCCGCGCGTCTGTGTTTCTTCCGCCAATGAAGAAAGTTCCCACGGCAACCCTTGCCCGCCTATGGTCGCTGACGGCGACGCTGCAGTGTCTTGAACAAATTCTCCAGGAGTCATTTGACACTTTGCCGGTGAGAGCATGTTCTCTCATTGGCCGTGAGCGAATTATCATGAAAACGTCGACACTATTTGCGCTCGTAATGCCACTGCAGGTAGCGCCCTCGCCGGGAGCAACCTGCCAACCAGCTGGCTAACTCGGCCCTGGCTCTGAGGACGTTCGTAACAAGCCCTGGTACTCCTGTTAACGTTGTAGGCGCCACCGTGTCTGTGGTACGCCAGTTGTGGTTGACCACGAGCGGAATGCTCGCTGCGGTAGAGGCCGACCGCATGTAGGCACTCCCCCCTTGCGCGTATAGACCCGTTCCATCGTCTACTTGCTAAGTGTCTATGCTTGCATTGTTTGTATCGGTTGCCTAAGCTACTACTGCTTGTTGTTTCCCCTTACCATCCCTAACGCGCGGCCTAAGGCCGTGCACGCGAGCGCCAGCGGTCTTCTACCGCCGACGCGAAGCGCCAAAATTTTCAGCACGGAGAAACTGCCGTGGCCTTAAATAGTCATGGCAGAGGGCAGAATGCACTGGGCAGAGGGTAGAAGGGGAGAGGCTAATCCTCTCTCTCTCTCGTTCTCTCGAACAACACCACCACTTTCAGCACTAACTAAATTTTCTCCCTCTCTCTCTCCCTCTTCCTCCCTCTCTCTCTCCCTCTTCCTCCCTCTCTCTCTCCCTCTTCCTCCCTCTCTCTCTCCCTCTTCCTCCCTCTCTCTCTCCCTCTTCCTCCCTCTCTCTCTCCCTCTTCCTCCCTCTCTCTCTCCCTCTTCCTCCCTCTCTCTCTCCCTCTTCCTCCCTCTCTCTCTCCCTCTTCCTCCCTCTCTCTCTCCCTCTTCCTCCCTCTCTCTCTCCCTCTTCCTCCCTCTCTCTCTCCCTCTTCCTCCCTCTCTCTCTCCCTCTTCCTCCCTCTCTCTCTCTCCCTCTTCCTCCCTCTCTCTCTCCCTCTTCCTCCCTCTCTCTCTCCCTCTTCCTTCCTCTCTCTCTCCCTCTTCCTCCCTCTCTCTCCCTCTCTCTCTCCCTCTCTCTCCCTCTCTCTCTCTCTCTCTCCCTCTTTCTCCCTCTCTCCCTCTCTCTCCCTCTCTCTCTCCCTCTTTCTCCCTCTCTCTCTCCCCTCTCTCTCCCTCTCTCTCCCCCTCTCTCTCTCCCTCTCTCTCCCCCCTCTCTCTCTCCCTCTCTCTCCCCCTCTCTCTCTCCCTCTCTCCCTCTCTCTCTCCCTCTCTTTCCCTCTCTCTCCCTCTCTCTCCCTCTCTCTCTCCCTCTCTCTCCCTCTTTCTACCTCTCTCTCTACCTCTCTCTCCCTCTCTCTCTCCCTCTTTCTCCCCCACCTTGAGGTCGCCCGGCACCTCGGCCAGCGGCGGGTGCTCGTCGCTGCTGCCTGCTGCGCCCTTGGGCGCCGCCTTGTCCACCACGCCACTCTGCTTCAGCATCGCTGCACCAAGGGGCACAGAGGGGAGAAGGGAGAGACGGGTAGCGGGAGGAAGGCAGGAAGGCGTGAGAGCACGTGCATACCTCTCCAGCCATGCTCCTGCCCCCTCACAGCCGCCTGCTGCGCCCTTGGGGGCTGCCTTGCCCACCACACCCCGCTTTGCTTCAGCATTACTGCCAGGGGTGGGGGTTGAAGTGTGGGCGTGTGGAAGGTGATGTGGGAGAGAGGGGGAAGGATGGTAAAGGCACCCACCATCTCCGTACTGCCCCCGCCACCAGCCCGCCCACCCCTCATTTCACTCCAAGTCAGCCACGTCACCCTCTCCAACCTTCGGCCCATCCCCCCACCCATTCCTCGCCCCACCACCCTCCTTTCCTCTCTTGACTTATTCCATACCCCTTCCTGCCCTGCTCTCCCTGTATTCATCTGACACGCCACTCTCTCCCTTCACACAAGCGTGCTTGCCCCTCTCGCCCTCAACCCTACTTGCCCCTCTCGCCCTCAGCGCGTACTAGCCCCTCTCGCCCTCAACCCAATCCTACCTTTGAGCTTGTTGCCGCCCTCCCCGCCGCCCAGCACGGGCACGACCGGCCAATCAGCGAAGCAGGCCTTGAAGGCGGGCAACTCGAAGCGCTCCGGCATGCGCACCACTCGCACCGAGGGGGGCTTCTTGCCCACCACCAGCTGCGTCTGATGGGCGCCGCCCCCAGGGCGGAACAACAGAGGGGGGGGGAGGGGGGCGAGGGAAAGGGGAGGAAGAGGGAAAGGGGGAGGAAGGGAGGAGGGGAGGGGAAGGGGGTGCGAGGAGGTGGCATGAGGTGGGGGAAAGGAAGGGGAATGAGGAATTAGGAAAAGAAAAGTGGGGAGGAAGAGGTGGGGAGACGGGAGGTGAGAGAGATAGGGGTTTGACGAGCAGCAGTGGGAGGTTCGGTTGGGTTCCAAGAAGAGTTTGGGGTGGGCTTCAGCAGGGAGGATGGGGGATGCATTGCTGATTCAACACACTTGCACTTTCCCCTGTCCTTGCCCATCCATACTCCACCCTCCCCTTCTATCCCCATCCCCCCACTGTCCCACGACCACCCCCTCAATCCCCCGCCCTCCCTCTGTTCCCCGTCCTCCCCACTTATGCGCCCCCCTTCCTCCCCTCTCCCTCCCCCTCCCAACCCCTTCCATCCCCCCCTTCCCTCTCCCTCCCCCTCCCGCCTCGCAGGTCCGCACAGCGCAGGGCAGGGGGCGCGCCTCACCTCAGCGGCGATGCAGGCGGCGCGGCGCTCGTCGAGGGAGGAGATGCGGCCGAACCAGACGAAGACGGTGGGGCCCATGTCCACCAGGTAGCACTTGTTGCCCTCCAGCTGCAGCTTCTTCAGCGCGCCCGCCCCCACCTCCTGCAGCCCATCGCCCGACACCCTGCGCGCACACAGGGGAGAGGAGTGGGCGGGGCGGAGCGGATGAGGGTGGGAAAGCATCAGGTGAGGTGCGGTTTGGCAAGGGGACAGGGCGGGGACTGGCGAGGAGGAGGGGGGGCGAGCAGTGGACGAGGGGGCAGGGTGAAGAGCACTCAGAGACGCACAGCCGCACCGCATGGACGAGTGGGGCGATCGCGAGCACAAGTGCTACCAGTGGTGCACCCGGCAGTGTGGCATGAGTGCTGGCATGCACAGCAGTAAAGCCAAGTCGGGTGGGCTTTGACCAGTGGTGGAGGGAAGGGGGCACTGAACAGTGGATGGGAAAGGGGCACTGAACAGTGGATGGGAAGGGGGCACTGAACAGTGAGAAGGGGAGGGGGGCTGACGAGCGGCGCAGAGGGGTGAAGGGAGGGGTGGGGAGGCCCTGACCAGTAGAGCGTGGGCGGCGTGGGCTTGACCTCGACGTCGTCCTCCCCTTGGCTCTTCTTGGCGATGGGCGCGAAGCCCCCAAACATGTCCCAAAACTCGTTCGACTCCGGATCGTCCAACTTGCCGTCGTCTGATGGCAGGTGGGGAAGGGGAGGGAGAGGAGCGGGAGAGAGGGGGGAGTGGGAGGAAGGGGTTGAGGATGGGGAGGAGAGGGAGAAAAGAGGCAGAGAAGCGCGGGAGAGAGGAGAGGGAAGTGAACGCGGGGAGAGAAGGGGAGAGGAGGGGAGGGGGGAGTGGGGGTACGGGGGAGGTGGAGGGCCATAAGGGAGGGAAGGCGAGTGGAGAGAGATGAGGGGAGGGAAGGGAGAGACGAGCAGGAGAGGGGAGAGGTGCGACGGGAGGGTAGAGGGGAGACGGAAGGAGAGGACGGATGAGAGACGGAAAGCTGAAGGGTCAGAGACCAAGTGGATGATAGGGAGAGAAGCGAACGACATGATAGGCAAGGTTAACGTTTATTGCACCCTTACGGTGGGCCCTCAGCTGAGCTCTTGCAGCTTCGTTTGCCATTATTCAAACGCCAATCGCAATTTTGTGAGACAGCACTAGTCTCCTCCAATCCGCAATCGTGTTTAGCTTGAGGGCAGGGCGTTCCCACTGACCGATGATGGCGATGGGGGCGTTGCCGCCGTACTGCGTGTCCTTGAGCAGCTGCATGACCTCCATGCCCTTGACGCGCTCCTGCTTGCTGGCGTTGGCGCCCGTGAACTGGAACAGCTTGCTGCGCGTGTCCAGCACGAATATCTCCGAGTGCGACAGCGACGACCGCGCCACTGCCACCTGCACGCGGGCACACACGGCGACCAGGGGCGAGGGGCGCGGGGCGAAGGGCGGGGGGAGGGGGGCGATGGGAGCAGGGCGCAGGGCGGGCGAGAGACGATGGGTGAAGGTCGAGGGGCGAGTGGCGAGGGTGGAGGGTTGGAAGAGAGGAGCGACAGCGCTTGAGGGTGGGAGGGTATTGCAGAAAGTGGGAATGCAAGGTCGCATTGGCGTGCGAGCTGGGAATACCTCCGTCACTGCCCCATTGCCTCCTGTCCCTTATCCCTCTCCCCTTCGCACAGTCCGTCCTTCCCGTCCCGCACCTACCACCTACGCAGCTGCTGGGACTCCTCGTCTGCACCGTCGCCGCCAGAAGCGGATATCGAGGTGCGTCCTACATGCAGCGCGAGCCTGAAAAAATCTCGTGCTTCCAGCCCTACGCGCCGAGCCCTCGACCTAGACCGGCCGCAGCGATCCGGATGCGAGCTTGCCAACGGGAGCAGTACCTTCGGGTTCCGCGTTAATCGCCTAATGCGGACCACACCCCATCAGACTGACGTGGACCACACCCCACCTGTCTGACGTGGATGAATCGGCGGCCCTTGACTTGCAGCAGGCGCGGCTGAGACGCCTCGGGGTCGGGGTGGCCCCAGGAGCCGGGAGTGGCGATGATGCAGGGGCGGAAGTAGGAGAGCAGCAGGTCCGACTCGTGGCCCTGCGTCTCGCGGTACTGCGCCGCCTTGCCGCCCAGCGCCGCGTCCAGATCCACCGTCTTGATCGCCGCCATCGCCGCGTCGTCCTGCGCGCGGGGGATGGCGCGCGGGAGAGAGCGGGGGGGTTGGGGGGATTTGGGGGAGGGACGGGAAGTGTGGGGGAAGAGGGGAAGTGGAGGACGGTTTTTAGGCAACCAGCGTGGCGTCCAGCTCCACCAGCTTTATCGGCGCCATCGGCGCGTCGGATTCGGGAGGAAGGGAATGTAAGCGGACGAGATAAACGCAGCGGGGACGCGTGGGGATACGAGAGTGGCAACGCAACGCAATGTAGTTCGAAGGCGAGAAGGGGTATCGGGGTTGTTCGAAAGGCTCCATTCGTGGAGTTGCTCGGGTGTAGGGCTCTGATCTGACAGGCACGTTCTGTGAAGATTTGGAAAAGCGCTACAATTCGCGACGAAAGCAATCTGTTGTTCCACGGTAAGCATCACAAGCACGATATAAGTTGCAGCGAATCAAGAGAATGACGCCCGCATTGCACGACACGAATGGGAGACGGGCTGAGCAAACTCCGGTGGTGCTGAGCGCATGGCCCAAGAAGCAAACCGCGCCGTCTCTGGCTTATAATAGCACTCCGTTGAGCGAGGAAGGGGAAGCCAGCAGGGCTCCCAAGGCGACGCAGGCTCACCTGAGTCGTCGACTTCCCCAGCCAGTAGTGAATGGCGTACGTGACCGCGCCGCCGTGCTTCGATCCAGATGTCTGTGCAACGGGAGACGGAAAACATCCAGATGTGATGAATGCGATCACGAGGTGACACGGAAGGGCCGGGTCGCAAGCAATGTTGACAGCTGGAGGCAAATACAAACGAATCAGGCACGTGCTATGTTCGCTCGTTCGTCGTCAATTCACAAAGTTTTCCAGACCCGTGTTCTGTGGCTGTCTGTGCCGTTTCCTGACTAAGTTGGTGTTACTGTCTTGAGCTTTGTCTATCATTGGGATCTGTCGCCCAGCTCGTCGCACCTTGGGCACAATAAACTTGTGAGACGTGTTAAAACTCGCCTCACCTTGAGCACGATATAGGCGTCCTTGGTGAAGAACTTGCCATGGTCGGCCTTGGGAACCGCTACCACTTGACCCGCATCCAGACGCCACACGTCCAGTCCTCTGCGCGGCCAGGCGATCACCAGGCAAGGGTGAGCAATGCTTTCTATGGATGCGATATATATCGCTATTTTTTTTTTTGCTTCTTTCCAAAGAAGCCGTACTGCAATTAAAAGCAATGACATTGTGGTGAAGTTAAGAAATGTAGGTAAAGGAAGCTTACGGTTTGTTGCTGAGTCCCTGGAACGCGGGGTCGAGGTCCTTGACGGAGATCGACATGGCAGCTGTCGGCAGGGCACACGTATCTCACTGCCAGGCAGGCGACAAAGGGTAAGTACCTCGCAGCTGGTAGGACAATCTAGGGCTAGGCTTCTACCAACAAGTTCCTAGCCTACTAGCCACGAGTATTTTTCATGAAATGCTTGATGTTGCTCACATGTCTGGAACTACTTGTGGAAAGCAGAGATGAGGATGGCAGGGGTGGGGGGGGGGGGAGAGGGTAGATTGGGACCAGCAGGAGTAAGGAACTGCACTGCACGGTACAGTAGACGGGAAAAAATTGATATGTTTGTTGGTTTGGCTTGGGCGTGTTTGGTTTGGGAGAAGGGAGACCAGGCGATTGGCTTTGGCGTGTTGCTTGCTTGCGCCACACCAACACGCTCTCTCTGCTCCCTGCCCAACCACGAACCAGCCAACCAGACGCACGAGAAGCGCAAGTTAGGGGACAATGTGGGGCTGCCCGCTCGAAAGCACCAAACCACCGTGGATGACCAACCAGGGCAAGAAGTTTTCCAGTTTGATGCACGGCGCGCTGCGGTGGGAAGGTGCGGAGTTTGGGGGGATAAGTATGTAAGGTGCTCTCTGACACGGTGAGGACATGTGATATGGAACTCACAGAAGGTTCTCCAATTGAAAGTGGGATGCAGAGTGCAATTGAGTGAGCGAGCGAGAATTGCACTATCGAAGCAAGAAGTACAATGAGCGAAGGCATGAGCGAAGAATATATAGCAAAACTACAGTGGTAACGGTAATGGACTGTGGTTGTCGCGCGACGGGCCTGGGACTGAGGTTTGGGAAAGTGTCGAAGCGGAGGCCCGAAGCGCGAGTTACCCGCCGAGCCGTGAGGTCGGGGTGCGGCGTGCGAAGGTGGCGAGAGGATTGCCGATGCGAGGGTTGCGAGTGGTGACGGTGCTGATTGTGGTGCTACAGTGGTGTACGCGCTGAGCGAGGTCGCGAAGTAAGGAAAAGGAATTTTCCTTACAGATGCCCACGAATCAGAAGCCCAAAATGATCTAACCACCTATTACAAAGCGGATTATTATAAATGGATGCCTTCTGTAGGCATTTCCCTTGGGAGGGAGGTGGGGGGGGGGGGGGCGAAGGGAAATGACGAGGGTTCTGAAGCAGTTTCCCCTTCGAATCCAGCCCCCCCCCCCCCCCGGGCTACAACCGAAAGTGGGAAATTTCGGTTGCTCGGTGCGAAGCTTCTAAAGGTAAATGACGAAAAAACAGCCACAATTTCCACGCACAGAACATGGGTAGATAAAGTTGCGCGACATCAGAAAAAGGGTTGCAGTTTAGAGGAGGGCAACCACGTGGAAAAAAAGCGCCCCCAAGCACACCCACCTGCAATACACAAACCTCACTGCTTTTTATATATGTTAGTTTGCTACGTCCCTGTTTGGGCTACTCGAGGGAGGGGTTGTTTGCTTTTGTTACAATCCCAAGTGGGACTTAGCGAAGGATCGCTCAGGGTTGATTGCAGAGTAGTGTTTGCAGCGGAAGTTTGAATCTCAGGTCAGGGTGAATGTAAATGACTGAGTTGATACGAACATGCATACACCGGGTTTATATAAGAGTACAGCGGAATACGAAAAGACCTAGATTAGCCATGTACTCTAAAGGGTACATTCCCTTATTGCAGCGAATTTCAAACCGTGCGGGTGGGAACCCGTTTCAAACCTGTTCCCGCTCTTTTCACTTCAAATGTTTCTGCCTGCATTGGTCTTGGTCAGACGGTTGCTGCGTCGCTTCGACTCTTCTGACTCCTCGACTTCGTACTCGGTAGAGTCGGCTCCTGCAGCATACATGAATGCCTTCTCATAAAGTTTCATATCGTAACACTCCCCTTCATTCCTGGGCGCAGGTGGAGCTGACTCGCTTGACTACTCCGGTGAGGTTGGAGCAGTGCTTGTACTGCTGACGTGGAAGACGCTTGGTGAGGAAGTCTGCTGCCATCTCAGTAGTCGGGCAGTAGGCGAGGTCAACTTTTCCTTGGTCAATTTCGTCCTTGTCGAAAAAGTACCGAAGTGCGATGTGCTTCATGCGGTTCACGAAACCTGGCTTGTTTGCGATCCTGATGGCACTCTGGTTGTCGCACTGAAGGCGAAAAGTAGGCGAGGTCGGAATCTTCGCCTTCAGTAGTAGCTCTTGCAGGTATAGGCCTTCGAGAACTGCTGCTGTCGCGGCGATGTATTCTGCTTCAGCCGATGACAGGGCAACCAACTCCTGCTTCTCTCAGTTCCAGGAGATTGGCCCAGTTGATTCCAAGCGAAAAACGAAGCCGGTTCGGGACCGTCTGTTAAAGAACGAGGAAATGAATGCACTAGGAAACAGGTGGGTACAAGTAGGAAAACCTAAAAGTGTTGTACCCCATATTATCTACCCCACTACAGCCTACACAGACTATAGCATATGAGTTTGACACACCCCCATAGGCAAAGTGGGGGAGAACAAGAGGTCACAAGACCAGTCAAGCAAAGCACAGCAAGCTCAGGGTGGATCACAACGTCACCACACATTCCGAGCACAAGTTCAAGGCCACAAGGCCAGTTCACATGCAAGATTATATATAAAGGCAAACAAGCAAGTGGAGGTATAGATAGATTACAGTACAAGCAAGGTCAAGAAGTGAGCAAGTGAGACCAAGTAGGCACAAGACCTAGCATTGTACAAAATCGCTGATGATCGCAAGGCTGAAGTGCCTTGGTAAAGATATCAGCAGTGTTGGCCTGAGAGGCCACGTAGGCAAGGCGCAGCTGACCACGCTGCTGCAGCTCACGAGCAAGGAAGTAGCGAAGAGCAATGTGCTTCGTTCTGTGCTCCAGTCTGTGCTCCGACACAAGGCCAGCATGGCCTTGTTGTCTACGTACAGAACTGGAGGAGAACGAGGCGGCTCTCCTAGGTCAGTCAGAAGGTAGGTGAGCCAGCTTAGCTCCTGTGCAGCCATGGCCCCTGCGTAGATCTCAGCCTCACAACTGGAGCCGAGAACAGAAGACGAGCGGGTAGACCGCCACGAAACAGAGTCAGAACCAAGGCTAAAGGTGTAACCCTATGACGACCGCTGCGTAGCCTGGTCGTCAGCCCAATAAGTGTCTGCGTGCCCAGTGAGGACCACTGAACGCCGCCCTCCAAGCACTAGCCCCATGCCCGACGTACTGCACAAGTAGCGCGACGCCCTCTTCGCTGCAGCCATGTGCTCTGGTCGGTGTCTCCCAGGAGCAACATAGCGTGCCAAGATGCTAAGAGGGTATGCATGTCAAAAGCTTAGCTAGGTTAAGGAGCCATAGCTAGTTGAGTTCGAGTAAGTTTAGGAGAGTCGAGAAAATTGAAAAGAGAAGAATGGGTTTTCACTATAGAGCGAGCAGTACATATTGGCAAGATGAAAGGTGCACCACCAAAACAGAACATTATATAACTACACTAGTCTACACTACAGGCAGTTACAAAAACAATATATAGAAATATATATTATTCTTGACAATGCAAGGTCAGGTTGAGTGCAGGTCATCAGGTACATGAGGCAGCCAACAAGCTCTGGGTACGGGCCACTCGGCTCTACGGACTCATCCGAAGGCAGAGAAGAGAGCGAGTGGCGAGTAGACAGAGGAGTGGCCTGAGGCGATGAGTACGTGAAGTCAAAGCGCTGAAGGACCTGCTGCACCATGTGTGACTGAGTCAGGGTAATGGTGTGCTGTGCTTTGTCCCGGGTGATCTGCAAGCCAAGGTAGCTGCGCAGTTCACCCAGGTCTGTGCACGTGTGTCTCTTCTACAGCTCGAACTTCACGTGGGCGAGTCCAGCAGTGTCAGCAGTAGCAAAGACCAAGTCGTCAACGTACACGAGGATGTAGAACGGCGGCAAAGAGGTGTCGGTGCGTAGAAACAGCGACGGGTCGGCTGTAGAAGGAGCAAACCCAAGAGCCGCAAGTGTAGTCCTCAGTGTGTCGTGCCACTCATGGGGCGCCTGGCGGAGACCGTAGACTGGCCGCCGGAGGCTCCACTGGGTGCCAGGAGGAAACGACCCAGTGAAGCCAGGTGGGCGGCGCATCCAGATCTCCTCGTGCAGGCTGCCCTGTATGAAAGCAGTGCTGAAGTCAAGGGAGTGAAGCTCGTAGTCGCGCTGAGCGGCTATGTGCAGCAGCACCCGAAGAGTGGTCATCTTCGGGGTGGGAGAGAAGGTCTGAAAGTAGTCAACTCCCTGCCGCTGACTCAAGCCTTGAGCCACGTCACGCGCCTTGAAGACAGGCGGAGAACCCGGTGGCCGCTTCACCCTGAAAATCCACATGCCACTGACGATGTTCGCCCCAGGTGGGGGAACCTCGTAGACGTAGGTGCCTGTGGACTTCCAGGAAGCCATCTCTGCGTCCATGGCTGACTGCCACTATGAGGAGTAGGGACCCTCGATCGCCTCAGCGTACGATCGAGGAGTCGGGATGTCTGGTGCATCCGGGTCTCCCTCAGGGGCTATCAGCGTGGACACGAGATGAGGCAAAGCAGGAGCAAAACACTGGAACTCCTCCTGCTTGTCCTCAAGGACGTCCGTGGTAAGAGCACACTCACCCCCAACGGACGGAGGACAGACAGACTCAGACTCAGCAACAAGACTAGCAGCGTAGTCTAGACGACAGTGAGCAGCGAAGTCGACAAGCTCAGCAACTAAGGCAGACGCAGCAGTGGACTCAAAGGAAGGGTCAGTGACAACAGTAGCCAGGAGTCGCGTGATAGTAGGATTGGCAGCACAAAGAGAGTCAGACTCCGGGTCAGCAAGAACAGGAAGAGAGGACTCCGGAGGAGACGGCAAAGGGACACGCTTCGGAGCAGTGGAAGGACGCAGTGCCATTTGGTGCGTGCCCGGGACCGCAGGAGAACGCTGACGCGGAACACGATGACTAGTGCGAGCAGCACGAGCAGGCTACGCAGGACGAGACGCAGGCGCACGACGCTCAGCAAGACCTCCAATAGGACCAGTGTAGGGAGAAGGAGCAGGCAGTGGGGAGGCG